GAAAGAATAAAAGTGGAGAGTGAAAAGCTCTTCCACCCACATCAGATTCTTTTTGCTGCATTGCCTGTGGCACAGTGTTGACCTAATATCAACTGTGTCTGTTTTGTTAAACACATTCAAATCAGTAGTACTCAAGCCTATGGGACATAACACTGTTTCTCATACTGTGACACACAAATACAAAAGCTGCGTGGGTAATTTGGTTCACTATCAAAGAATTGCAGTGAAATCAGAAGGTCTTAATGGACGCAGCAGTGCACATGTGCGCTCGCACTTTACACTCAGCTGTGCCCATGTATTCCCACCAGTGAGTAATGGTTTAAATAAACGCCTGCATTTATACTGTCTTTGCACTGCATTGGACAACATTTCTATGAAGTCCCGCCAGATTTCTGTGCGCACGTTTTTTGCAGCTTCCTAGTTTGGTGAAATGTATCCAAAATGTAACTTGGAATGTATGCACAAACACACTGACCAGTAGTTAACAGAGGGTGTCATCATATTTAGGCAATTAAACAGCTCGTGGTGTATGATCTGAACTTTAATGCAGGTGTTAACAAAAAAACTTTAGCAGTCATTGTTAGCCTGTGTTTGGTGTTGTTTTGTTTTGTCCCCAAAGTTTCTTTTACATTTGTAATAACAGAAAAGTGACATGTATATAGTGGCAGCAAGAAGTAAGTGACCTATTTACAGTTTTCTGCATAAATTGGTCATGAAATGGGATCTGATCATTATCCAAGTTACAAATATAAACAGACATGATGTCCCTGAGCTGATAAAACATAAACAGTCTTGATCTTTCATGTCTTTATTAAACACACCCATGAAACATGGGTGGATCGTGGAAAAGTACTATAAGTGAAATACTAGGCTTCTGATGTCACTAAATGCTAGCTGGAATCAGGTGTTACCAAACCTGTAGTCCAGTCAGTGAAAAGACATTGGAGGAGTGGTTCTTGGCCACCTTGACTTATAAAAACACTCCAGCAGTTTCAGTGTGCTATTCGGAAGCAGCATTGGCTGATGTGAGCCATGCCTCGCAAAAAAGAGATCTCAGAAGACCCATGGTCAAGAGTTGTTGATTTGGATGTAGCTGGGAAGGGTTACAGAGTCATCTCCAAAACTTCAGATACTCATCAGTCCACAGTTAAAAACATATTGTCTGTAAATGGAGATGATTTGATACTGTGGCTACTCTACATAGAAATGGGCGCCCAGCCAAGATCACTCCAAATGTACAACACAGAATGCTCAGTGAGGTAAAAAGCAACCCTAGAGTAACAGCTAAAGACTTGAAGGATTCATTGGAGTTGGTTAACATGTCTGTTCATGAGTCAACTATAGGCAAAATATTGAACAGTCATGGTATCCATGGCAGGACACCACACAGGAAGCCACTGCTCTCCAGAAACAACATTGTGGCATGTCTGAAGTTTGCCAAAGACCACCCTGATATTCCACAGCACTAGTGGGAATATGTCCTGTGGACAGATGAAATGAAGGTAGAATTGTTTGGGAAGAACACATGGCACTATGTATGGTGTAAAAACAGAGCCAAGTTCCAGCATGAAAATGTCATCCCGACAGTGAAATACTATGGAAGGTCATCATGATTTGGGGCTGCTTTGCTGCTTCTGGACTTGGGCCGCTTGCCATTGTGGAGGGGAAAATGAACTCCCAAGTTTATCAAGGTATCCTACAGGATAATATCAGGGTGGCTGTCCGCAAGCTGAAGCTCAGAACAAGCTGGGTGATGCAGCAGGACAATGACCCTAAACATCAAAGTATATCTAGTACAGAATGGCTTTGGAGGCACAAAGTCTGCCTTTTGCAGTGACCCAGTCAGAGCCCAAACGTAAACCCAATAGAGACACTGTGGAATGACCTCAGGAGAGCTGTTCACATGAATATGGCTGAGCTGAAGCTGTTCTGTAGGAAGAATGGTCCAAAATTCCTCCTGAACATTGTGTAAGTCTAATCCACAGCTACAGGAAGCACTTATTTGAGGTTAATGCTACCAAAGAGGGTTAAATGTTTAATAGGTATGTTCAGTAAAGACATGAAAGATCATGTGTTTATGATCAGCTTAGGAACGCTGTTGATATTTGTGACTTGAATGAAGATCAGATCACATTTCATGACCTTATGCAGAAAACCAGGAAACAGTTCACCTACTTTTTCTTGCCACTGTAGGTATTTATGTCACTCGTGAAAGATGGGTTATTAAAACTAGTTCTCCAAGTCAGCTGAGAGGTGGTATTATGGGGATGTTTTCCTGCTGTCTGACCTCTAGCAGGTGATAGGTGAACCATGGCCTCCATCCAGGCCATTAGTAAGACACAATCACACAGCTTCATAGCAGCTTAGTCTGCTGTATTAGGACTTAGAGCTCTATTAATGTAATCCCTCTGTTTTAGTGTGGCCTGGGTTTAGGGGCTTACATGTGCGCACACACACACACACACACACACACACACACACACACGTAAATACATGTAAGCACCCACATATACAAGCTGTTTGGGATATGGAGTTCCCAATCATTGGATTAAGGTGACATTTAGACAGTATCTTAATGGACATGGCACTGGTGCTCTCTGAACAATCGTACACAGTGAGGTTGTATCACAAGGGGTTGTATGTGTGCAGAGTGGACGTTTTTCCCCTGGGAATCATCTATCCATTTGTGGTTTCCTTGTGTGTGTGTGTGTGTGTGTGTGTGTGTGTGTGTGTGTGTGTGTTGTTTCAGTGAGTCTCTTTAGTACTGTCTCATCTTCTGTTGTGAATTTCTCTGTAGTAACAGTACGTTTCTTTTGTTCCAGAGCCGATGAGATTGAGATGTTGATGACAGACCTGGAAAGAGCCAATCAGGTAATCTGCTCAACCTAACAGTGCACAGCATTGTCCATCAGCCCAAGAGCCACAAGTTTTATTACTAAAATACAGAAAGCAACTGAGGTTGTTGGCTGAATTATGTGTATTTACTAATGGAAATAAATTATACTGTGTATACAGAATCTAGTGATCTAATCTACTGATAATCTGTATTTTTCTTCAGGTCAACAAATGCCATGAAAGGTTCAAAACCAATAACCAATTTATTCTACTAAGAAGTGTTAATGTATAGCCATGAAGCTCCATTGTTGTTGTAAAACATTCATTGTGCTGAGCATAGGGCACTGTAGTTTAATTTAACATGCTGTCACTAGATCACCAAATGTATATCACAATCAGAATACTTTATTAATCCCACATGGAAACTGTTCCGTTTGCTCGCAGGACAGTCTAAAAACTCACAAAAGATTATTCCACAGCTGAAATTAGTCCCCATCAAATACGCCATTTAGTCCTTTTTGAGTAACATTTGTTAAAAACCACATTGCCTGAGCTTTTTATGAAACTTAGCTTTATCTAAAACTTTAGGTTTTCATGACCTGTTATTAAAGAACAGGAGGAACAACTAACACATTTTTGGATTTTTATTTTTTGCCAATAATAAAAATGTAGAGTATCTCCACCTTTATCCTTTAAAACACAAATATTCTTATCTGTTCAGAATTTATATGGTTTACATGAAGAAATAATGACTTGCTGTTTAACACACCTACAAAACCCATCCAGCTGGGTTAAGCCTCCTAGCGCTCCCTCCCCCCGGTGTTGTAACTATTCCTGTGATATCCGTTAATGTCATTGTTGTTAACTTTCATTATTAGGCCAAGAGTATGATTTGTACCTAAAGGGGTAGCATAGGCATGTAATGTTAATATTAGCCTAAAGGTTACTGCTCCAACTATAAAGCCACACACACTGTTCACACTTCTGATTTGAGGTTTACAGAGGATGGCAGCGTTGCCTTAAGCTCAGTCACAGACTTTTTATATACTTTTATAGAGAAAATGGAAAACAGTTTTTTTGTGACTAGCAGTCCAACTCCCACCCAGTCAGTAACAGCTCTCAATATGGTTGCAATTAGGACCACTCCGGAATCAGCTCTCTGTAACTCCTGATGATGGCAAGTTGGCCAGTGTTGCAGATGATTCCCAACTGGAGCATGGCAGTTTGGCTATAAATGTGAGGCAGTGGGTATCATCTCAGTTCTCAGGACTGATTTAATATTAGCAATTAAAGAAAACTCCTTTCTTGCGGCTGTCATCCTACACTTCTGCTTTGCGTTTTCTGAGCCCTCCACTTTTTAGTAGACTATATATTTTTTTTAGAATGGAAGGGGATGAACTTCCTTTGCGTAGAGAGACACAGTTGAGACAGAAAATGTGTGTAAACCATAGCAGTACATTACACAGTAGCACTGAATTGTCCTTTAGATGGATCATGTTTGACAATGTAAGAATCTCCTCTAATTGATTTTCCTTTAACATAACTCCTTTTCCTTTCAGCGAGCAGAAGCCGCTCAGAGAGAGGCGGAGTCGCTCAGAGAGCAGCTCTCCTTGAGTAACCAATCCCAACAGCTCAGCAGCCCAACCAAGGCCGACTCCGACACGGTAACATATTTCACTGCTTCACTGACTAACTGGATGTCTGACGAGGACGTACTGATAGGCTAAAGATCAGCTAAGCCTCTTTATGATAGAGATGATTAGCTGATTAAAGCTTCAATTTATGGGTCATTGTAGTCACTGGTCTTAAAGGTCACGCATCAGAGTTGCTAATAATGCATTGATTTGTAGACTAAATTATTGATTTTCAGGGAAAGGTTGCTAAGGTGACAGTAGGTGATGTGTGTGCATTGATTAAGTCATTTATTAGACCTATACAACAGACTGCAGAGGTGAGGCTCAGTGGTGGAAGACATACTTGGAGCCTTTGTTCAAGTAATATCACGGCATAAAAATATTGTTACAAGTAAAAGTCCTGCATTCAAAATATTACTTGAGTAAAGTTATGAAGTATTACCATCAAAATATACTTGAAGTAACAAAAGAAAAAAATTGTCATTATGCAAAATGGCACATTAATGCATATTATATTATTGACTTATAATTCTGGATGCATTACTGTGTTCATCATGCTAATGTTGGAGCTGCTAAAGGTGGAGCTAATGCCAGCTACCCTATATGTTGTTTAGATGTTCTTATGTTTTGCATCTAACAATTCTAACTAGAAGGGCTTTACTGCTGGGTAACCTGTGAATCCTCTACTGCGGCCCAGTAAAGTCTTACTTTGTGATAAAACTATATTTTGTGTTATTGATCAGATTCTGAAAAGTAATTTATAATTAAAGTTATTAACCAAATTTAGTTGAGTAAAAAGTACACTTGCAAATATGAAGGAGCAGAAAATGGAAGTACTGAAGCAAAGTTGTTAGACTTAACCACGCTGCCACATGACGGCGTTGACTTCACTCAACCCTCGGTGCTGGGTGGTTGTGATTGACATACAATTGTCCACTGATTATTGATCTAAAGGAGTAGGCCTTTTGAAATAACTACCTTGATCAGCTTCTGTCTGCTGTAGTGATTTATTGGATACACAGGGTTCCCATGTGTCCTGGAAAACCAGGATTTTAAAAAAAAAAACAGATTTCCAGTGATAGAAAAATCATGGAAATTGGGATAAATTGTACAGTGTCCTGGAAAAACACTTTGTCATCCTGGAAAATAATTTTCACTTTTTTTTTTGTATTTTGATTTGATTTATTCTTTCAAGCATGTAAAGACAGTTGATATGTCAACACACATAATTTTACACATATCCAACAAATGCTAATCCAATATCAATTTGCTTATACCTAGTACATGCTTGAATGGAGTAGGAAGAAGTCAGACTTATCCAGTCCTACCCCATGACATCATCTTACATCATTGGTTTGCAAGCAGTATCTCTACATAAATAATTCTCTTCTACACCACACAAGTAATATACTAAAAAAATTTAA